GAAGAAGGAAAGGACGGGGAAGGAAGGAAGCAAGGAGGCAGGCAGAAGAGGAGGAATGGAAGGTTTATTGGGGCTGGGAAAATGTTGGATTTCTTTTCTTTAGTGGGAAATCTGAAAGAGTTAAGAGTGGCCATTTACCTGAGCCACACAGACCCCAGGGTTTAAAGGCAGAAGTTGAACATCAGAATTTTGTTCATGAGACAATACTGAGTTCAAACCACAGAAGCAGGTCCAAATGGTCATCAGAGCACAGGGAGTCTGAGGTGGGTATTAGGTACATCAGAGCAAAAGGAGAATGAGAAAAGCAGAAAAGATGAGGGCAAATAAGAAATCATCTGTACAAATTCAAGAAACAGCAGGAAAAAGCCACCAGCTGGGTTTATTTCTTGCTACTTTCCACGCAGGAGCAAAGGAAGTCTGATTAAAGGGATGTAGACAACACACAGTTGTCTGTGTGTAAGGAAGAAAAGAAAAAAGGGGCTGGGCGCGGTGGCTCAAGCCTGTAATCCCAGCACTTTGGGAGGCCGAGGCAGGTGGATCATGAGGTCAAGAGATCGAGACCGTCCTGGTCAACTTGGTGAAACCCCGTCTCTACTAAAAATACAAAAAATTAGCTGGGCATGGTGGTGCGAGCCTGTAATCCCAGCTACTCGGGAGGCTGAGGCAGGAGAATTGCCTGAACACAGGAGGTGGAGGTTGCGGTGAGCCAAGATGGCGCCATTGCACTCCAGCCTGGGTAACAAGAGCGAAACTCTGTCTCAAAGGAAAAAAGAAAGAAAAGAAAAACTAAAAAAGGAAGGAGGAAGGAAGGGAGGGAGGGAGAAAAGGAGGGGCTAGCTGTGAGCCAGTCAGCTCACTCTTCTCTACATCTCTATGGCATCTTATTTTGAACCAATTCAACATTTTGAACCAAAGTTATTAAGTTCTTAAGTTACACATTATTCCATATTCTCTAATCCTCCTTAATCATAAGCTCCTGGGGAACAGCAAAAGTGTCTAGTTCATTTTCTCATTTCCTATGGAGTCCAGTCCCAACAATTTCAAATACAAGTGCTCAAAAATATGGCTAAATACTATATATATATATATTTCATAGGTGTCGGGAGTTGTTACTTTAATGAAATTATTAACTTTTTGAGGAAAACCTTTTAGTCCTGAAAATACAAGGGAGTTGAGCTAAATAATGTGTAAGACATTTCCAAACAGCAAGCTCTTGTGGCAATGGCGAGGATATGTCTTATACATATGTTTTATAACCTATCATTTCTAATACTGGGCAAATAGTGGGAACTCAATAAAGTTTTGCAGTAAATGGACTCCAATATAGATGTATTTAAGTTGAAAAGAAACTTACAGATGTGTTTCTGAAGCGTCACATAAATTGCTTGTGAATTAAACATTACTTAGAGCATACATGAGAAACCTATTAAATGTTTCCTAAGATGAAAAATTTTTTACAATATTTAGAATCATTTTGTAAAATCACAACTCATTTAGTCAATTTTTTTAAGTTTCATATTTTATATACCAAGGATGCTGACAATAGAATAAACCGGAATGGTAGTTTACAGTTACGAGCCAATTGATTAAATATTGACAAAATTAAGTTATTCTTCATAGAGAGAAGTGTCCACTGTTTCCCAAAGGATCCCTAACTCTCTCACTTCTTCCTTTCCCTCCCCATCCCTCTTTCTCTCTCTCTGTTTCACATACACAGAGACTTTCCCTCCTGGGTCTTAACTTATATTTCAGCTTTGGTAGATTTACCTTGATTTATAATACTATGTATACAACTTTCACTTTCCCATATTCCTTTCCACATTTCTCTCCCTTGTTTACCCACACGCCTCACCAGTTTTAAAAATAGGTATGCTTCCCACGGTGTCTGGATCATCCGTAGTGTCTAGACTCTTCAAGGTATCTGTCTTTGGTATGAATGTGCTGGAAGTTGAAGCTTCCCCAGCTGAGAAGCAATAGCTTTAGGTCACTCTCAAGGTGAGTTGCAGGGAAGGGAGTGTTCCTTACTCTTTCATTTTCCCTATGACTCTCAGTTCTCCAGGGCTTTCTTTCCAAAAATCCAGTGAAAAAATCAGAGAAGTGATGACTGTTCTCAACAACTCTCTTACCTCAAAAATATTCTATTCCCTTGATATAAATGGCGGAAAAGCAGAACATATAACTAGATGCTTTGAGGTGGGGTGGATAAGAAGGCCATTTTTCCTTTGGACTTGTTTTATCTTATAGTTTCGGAGTGTCAGTTATAATGACAATAAAGATTCTCACAGATTAGCCCACACTAATCTGTGAGAATGTTGTTAAAGTAATTTACAAAACAACACAGAAATCAATGACCAGCTAATGGGATCAATTTTGTTCCCCGTCAACTCTCAAGTCCTCCTTATCTGCCTGGCATCTAACACAACAAACTAGGCCAAAATCTTACCTATACTTACACATGGAAAAGACATGACTTAGTGATCAATATTTTATCAAAGTGAGAATGTGATAAACAAGGTCAGCTGACTCCTAAAATCCATATTTACATTAGAAAGCCTCACAACCTGTATTGAGACTTCTTGTGAGAGAACCCATTCTCTCACTAGAGTATGATCAGGAGACGTTGGTACCTGTTCTCTGACGAGTCCTGACTAATTGGCGAGACTGAATCACACACATGAAAAATTTCAGATGAAACTCGTCTTTATGCATGGCTGTCTCCTAGAAAGAGAGACAGAGTTTAATCCAAATGAACAGAGTTGTGGAATAAGATGTCAGTGACTGACATGGAACAGCTATGCTTAATGCTACTAGGCCTCAGGACTTGACAATACGTAAGTATCAACATATGGGGCGACACAATGTACTTTGAGATATTTGATAGGGCAGGAACTCAGCAAGCTGCTAAGAGTATTAGAAAGGCATGGGCCTCCAGAAACTGCCCTTCTTCAAGCCTGAGCTCAGACTGTGCCTGTGGCTGTGGTATGAGTGTAAAGGACCTACTGAGGGGGGATTTCTCTGAGACTTCTACAGGACCTGGGTCCAGAGGCCTGCCAAGCTGAGGTGTTTGACAAACAGTCTAAATGAGCAAACATATTTCTTCTCATTCTTTTTATTTTTTATTTTTGAGACGTTGTCTCGTTCTGTTGCACAGGCTGGAGTGCAATGGGCATTCTCGGCTCACCGCAACCTCCGTCTCCCGGGTTCTAGCAATTCTCCTGCCTCAGCCTCCCAAGTAGCTGGGAATACAGGTGCGTGCCACCAAGCCCGGCTAAGTTCCGTATTTTTTTTTTTTTTTTTTTGGAGACAGAGTCGTGATCTGTCGCCAGGCTGGAGTGAAGTGGCGCAATCTCGGCTCACTGCAACTCCACCTCCTGGGTTCAGGCAATTCTCCTGCCTCAGCCTCCCAAGTAGCTGGGACTACAGACGTGCGCCATCACGCCTAGCTAATTTTTGTATTTTTTAGTAGAGACCGGGTTTCACCACGTTGGTCAGGCTGGTCTTGAACCCTTGACCTCATGATTTGCCCGCCTCAGCCTCCCAAAGTGCTGGGATTACAGATGTGAACCACCGTGACTGACTTCTTCCCATTATTTTCTTTTAGAAAGTATGGCAGATTTCAGGTTAATCAATGAGACCTAGGAACAACCAAGCCCTTCAGAGGTCACAGGTGATTCCTGGTTCCTTCCCTATCTCTACCCAGAAAAGCAGATCTCTGGTGGACTCCCAGTAGCTTTCCTCACAGCCCTGCCTATGTTTCAAATCCCTCCAGAGTTCTGGAAGGTTCTACATCTTGCCAGAGCCTAACCTCATCCGTCCCCAAGCAGCTTTCTCTTTTTTGTATGCTGGTCCATCAAGCATGAGGTGGTGCAGAGCAGAACTGCCAGTTAAGAAACTTGCTTCCGAGTCTTAGATGCGACATGCATTTAAAACCCTTGGGAAATCACTTCTCTGAACCCGGTTAAGACCATAAACTATCTCCAATAACCTGTACAAGCGCTAACGTTCTGTGATTCTCAACAGCACACGAGATAGCCTGACATCGATTTAGATCTCAGGTCTCCATCTGTCGGGGGAAGCCACGGGTTTCCGCAGATCTGGGGCCGCAGCGAAAAGCTGCCATAGAAACTGGAACGCAAGCAAAACTCGCCGAGCGGAACCAGAAGGAGGCGGGTAAGGGAGCTGAGGGAACAGAGAAAAGCATAGGACGAAGGGCTCACTAACAGTATTCCGGGCGCGAGAAAGCGAAAAGGCCCAGACTGAAAAGGGAACTGAGAAATTACGACTCGTCTTAAATGCTCCCTTGACTTCTGGGGACTTGCCACACCGCGCAGGCGTCCCACTGGTCCTTAGCTCTGCTCTTTGACCTCCTGCCCCAACCCCCTTCCTCCGCAGCCACCGAACGGCTCTTCCGGTGCTGTGAAGGCGGTTCCGGTTCGCGGCGGTTCCCGGGTTTTGCGTTCCGCGCCCGGCCGGAAACCCCTTCGCATGGCAGCCGGTTCCGGTTCGGTGAGTGGCGGCGGGAAGCTGGGGGAGGGGTGAGGATGGAGGGAACCTGGGCCAGGAGGCTGTGTCGGACCCGGTCCGCCGGCCCGGACTGGACTGGGCGGAAGCGAGGAGCACTGTGGGGCCGGCGCCTTTACCTCTGCCCCGCCCCCTGGGACCACCTCCCCTCCCCCCTGCTGTCCGGTGGCCGTGCGGTGGCCGCCGGTGGCCGTTAGGCTACCTGAGGCCCTTCCTTGCGGTCCTCTCTCCCGGGCCGCGGAGAGGCCGTCTCCCAGCCGTTACAACAGGCCCATCCCCGCGCCCTGCCGTACTTGTGGGAAAAGGCCGGTTGGGATTCCGGGGCTTTCCCGCCAGAGCAGGGTCTTGCGTAGGGAGAGCTGCTTTCCCCGGGAAGCTCGGCCGTCTACGCTGCCGGCTTCACCTCCCGCCTTCCTTGAGACCTGAGTGGTATTTCCGGACTCCCCCTGCGCCCCACGTAAACATTTCTCCTACTCTCTTGCTCTGTGGTGTCTCCCTGAGCGGTGCTACCGCTGGTGCCACCAGCAGAAAGACACGGCCGGACCCTCCTGCTCAGGTTATGAAGATCCCCTTCACGGCCCCAGTGGCTTACCTGGCTCATCGCCTCCGGGTAATTCCCTGGAACCGGCCCCCTGGGTGCACCCGAACGTGGTCCTGGATATGCGCCTCGTTTCCCTTCCCTCGAGCTTGGGGATTTCTGTTTATCGGTGTCTGTGCAGTATTTCCACTATCTGGCTGGCATCACTTGCTCCTTTATCACTGTCAAGTCAGCCTCGTTAAAGTCATTTTACTTCGTCTTTGGTACACATTATACTTGGAGTGGTGGTGATTCTTGTAATATTCACATAAAGCCTTTTATCTACTACCAACGATTTCACTGAGGGTCTTTGTTGTAATGGGTTATTCTGGACGGATTAGAGCACATCGTCTCCTAAATCTTTATCGTTCATAAAAATAATTTGTGTTTCAACTCGTGTTGAAATACAGATTACCCTGACTTTGAAATTACAGTTACACTGAAACTTTAATCATCTCTTTAAGGATGATCCCTTAACCTACTTCCACTCTACAACCCCCCACCCGCCCCCTTTATTTTTCTTCTTTAGTACCTTTTAGGAAGTCTTATTCTTTTTTTTCTTTTTTTTTTTTGAGACAAAGTTTCGCTCTCGTTACCCAGGCTGCAGTGCAATGGCGCCATCTCGGCTCACCGCAACCTCCGCCTCCTGTGTTCAGGCAATTCTCTTGCCTCAGCCTCCTGAGTAGCTGGGATTACAGGCACGCGCCACCATGCCCAGCTAATTTTTTGTATTTTTAGTGGAGACGGGGTTTCACCGTGTTGACCAGGATGGTCTCGATCTCTTGACCTCGTGATCCACCCGCCTCGGCCTCCCAAAGTGCTGGGATTACAGGCTTGAGCCACCGCGCCCAGCCCAGGCTTATTCATTTTTAACTGACTTCAATTCATTACCCCAGTTGCAAAGACGGTCTTCGTATCACTCATCTAACGAGCTGTCTGGAGGGAGTAGATGGATGCAAAAACAGGTTCTGCTACTTCTGGCTAAGGGCATGCAGTTGTTGACTACGCCTTTGGAAATCTGTCTTTTTCTTCCGAACTTCTTCTTCTATCAATCGTACTAGCTCTGCTGTCTTGCTGTATCTGTTTACGGATCTGGCTTTCCCTACTAGACAGTGAGCTTCTCAGTGGCAGGGACGCTCTCTTAATCATTTTTGTATTCCCAGCACCCTGCACGTAGTTGGTGCACAGTAAATGAATATGTATGAAAAAATTTGAATACTTAGGGTTTACTGTGTTAGAGTGTTAAGGTGTTTAAGGTGTTAGAGTCTGATTGGGAGAGATTACATGTAAAGATAGAGGGGAAGAAATAACCTCAAGCACATGATGATACAGTACAACTGTTGTACACATAACTTTTTCAGAACTTGGAAAAGGGTGATTTCACGTGATTGCTTTCATACCCTTCTCATGTCATAAATTCTGCTCACCACATCTTGGTCTTGGATAAAGCTAACATTAGCTCAATATATATTTTCTAGTAACTTCATTTCAGCCCTGAACATTGTCTTTTATAATCCCCTTTGCATGTGTGTAAGACTGTAAATGTGTCACCGCAGTTGTCAAGCCTGATCTTTTTTGTTCTTTCAGATTTCCCTTCACCTTGTGTTCAGCTACTAACCCGACTTCATCTGAATGACTGTAACTGCTTATGTTCTTCCAGGAAATCAAATGACCAGTGTGTACGAGGAAGTGAATTATTAGGATACTTTTTTTTTAAAAGAAAAGATTTTTCAGTTGCAGGAATTTAGTGGCATCAGAGGTTCCAGATTCAACATTTTCATGGAGAATCTTGGGGTAAAATATTCCTTCTCCCAGTGTAACTGCAGGTGGCGAAAGGAATGTACCATAAGCACACTGAAGAAGCTGGATGTATTTGTATTAAAATATAAATGTGGGGCTTTATTTAAAATCAAAAATCAGTGTGGATTCCCCAGGGTTAGTGAGGGATTACTTTTGGATTGCCAGTGTGTATGAATCTTTGAGGCTGTGTTGAAGGATTTGAAGTTGTACGATGTTTGAAATGTGCACTTTCCCTGGAGTCAGGATACATGGATTCTTATATTCTTTTTGCCCCATCTTTGTGATTTCAGGCAAGTCACTTAACCTCTCTGGATATAATCTGTAGAATTCTTTGAATTTCTAGCTTCCTTTTCTTTTCACATCTGTCTCAACAAAATGCAAGGAGATTAACGTGGGATTATTCTGTTGGGCACCAGGCTTTCAAATTGGTATTCTTCTTAATATTTTTTTTTTTTTGAGAGGGAGTTTCACCCTTGTTACCCAGGCTGGAGTGCAATGGCGCGATCTCGGCTCACCGCAACCTCCACCTCCTGGGTTCAGGCAATTCTCCTGCCTCAGCCTCCTGAGTAGCTGGGATTACAGGCACGCGCCACCATGCCCAGCTAATTTTTTGTATTTTTAGTAGAGACGGGGTTTCACCACATTGACCAGAATGGTCTCGATCTCTTGACCTCGTGATCCACCCGCCTTGGCCTCCCAAAGTGCTGGGATTACAGTCATGAGCCACCGCGCCCGGCCTTCTTCTTAATATTTAAAAAAAAAAAGGCTAGCGATGACAAAGCAACCTTAAAGAGTAAAATGTCAAAAAAAAGTGTTGCTAATATATTGGTTGATATGATTTTTTCCCCCTTAACCCCCTTAATCTGGAACCCGGGGGATTCTACTCTGTTAAAGAAGAAGGAAGGAGAAAGAATACCTAAAGAATTTTTAGATAAAGAAGCCTTTTAAGTTGAGCATTTGAAAATATATTTGAAGCCTAAATCTAAGGCTTAAATTCTTTAGGGCTCCTTCCTGGTAAGAGGAGGTAATCAGATAATTACTCTACTTAGTCTATAGCTATGCCAAGAGAACTTTAAGCAGCCTTTCTCTCTGTGAGTTTCATTACTGTGACCACAAAGAATGCCTATTATCGTCATCCAGTCTCATGAATACATTGAAGCCCTAGGATTGCTATGTAGTTGATGTAGTGTAGTGCTTGATATTTTAAAAAATATGGTTATAAGATTATAAATATATATAGGTGTGACTATTATCATCCCTAGTGTCTTCCTCCTCTTGGAAATCTCCGAAGACCATATGTGCTAGAGATATGTTTATTAACCTAGTTCCAAATAGTTTGGTTTTTGTTTTGGAGACCCTTCATTCTGTTGCCCAGGCTGGAGTGCAGTGGTGGTATCTCGGCTCACTGCAACCTCTGCTTCCCGGATTCAAGCAATTCTCCTGTCTCAGCCTTCTGAGTAGCTGGTACTACAGGTGCTCACCACCACACCTGGCTAATTTTTGTATTTTTAGTAGATGATTTCACTGTGTTGGCCAGGCTGGCCTTGAACTCCTGACCTCAAGTGATCCGCCCTCCTTGGCCTCCCAAAGTGTTGGGATTACAAGCGTGAGCCACCATGCCTGGCCAGCAGTTTGGTTTTAACATCTTTATTTTGTGGAAAAAGTGGATACATCAGAGGAAACAGTAATTTTTATATAGGCAAAGGAGCTTCGGTTTGTAGCAGTTTGATTGATGATTGAGGGGAAGTACTTTGTACTACTGCAAAGCAGTCCTTGATTGTCATTAGGTATCAAGTCACTGAGTAAGAAAAGTCTCAATAGGACCATCACAAAGTCTCTCACTTGTTTATGAAGTGATTTAGCGTGAGGTAATAGAACAATGGATTGGGAAGAATTTCTAGGTTGTAATTTCAATGTAGTTGCTAACATTGTGACTTTATGCAAACCGCCCAGTCTCTTAAGGGTTGGCTCTCCCAACTTGCTTCTTGCTTTAATAATCTGTGATTCCGTGGGTAGTCTGTAATTGCTGTTTAATTTAGCACAGGTTGCAGAAATGTTTGGAAGTACCTCAAGCTAGTTTTAGTTTTTCCATCAAGTCAACTCTTTGCACCTTAGATTTTTCTTTTCTTTTTTTTTTTTGCACCTTAGATTTTTCTCCGCTAAGAACACAAACATTGGAAACCAGAAAAAAAGAAAAAGAAAAAAAAAAGAACACAAATGTTACTTCTACTGGCTGCACCCTCTAAAATTAAGTGAAGTGTTTCAGTGTGTAATTTTTCTGTTTTTGTCTTCTTTTATAGGACTTTGTATCTTTGCTAAAATCAGTGATGTGAAAAGACTTGAAATGGGTAAGACTAGTTGTTGAATCCTGTTAGCTACTCTTATTGGTTAAGCTGGAGTGAAAGAATGGGTTTTCCTAACATTTTCAGTATTTTTATCTTTGTGCTTAATAATAATTTTGTGAGAGATCTTGATCCTAATTATGTGATACTGTATACCAAATACAATTATCTTCTGGTTAGAACATCGTTTATGTACTCATTTAGGAGTATTATCTCAATGATTGTATTGAAAAAGCCAAATATACCCAAACAAACATCTGCTATGTACTAGACCCTGTTCTAAGTATTTAAAATATATTAGTCCATTTAATCCTCACAACCATCTTACAAGGATACTTGTATCCCTATTATATCAATAAGGAAACTGAGACAGAGTTAAGAAGCCTGCCTAGAGTCGTGTACTATAACTGGCAGAGCCAGGATTTAAACCTAGGCACTCTGGTTTCAGGGTTCCTGTTCTTTTTTTTTTTTTCTTGAGATGGAGTCTTACTCTGTCAACCAGGCTGGAGTATAGTGGTACAATTTCAGCTCACTGTAACCTCTGCCTCCTGGTTTCAAGCAGTCCCCCTGCCTCAGCCTCCCAAGTAGCTAGGATTACAGCCATGTGCCAATGTGTCAGGTTAATTTTTGTATTTTCAGTAGTGATGAGGTTTCACCATGTTGGCCAGGCTGGTCTCAAACTCCTGACCTCACATGATCTGCCTGCCTTGGCCTCCCACAGTGCTGGGATTACAGGGGTGAGCCATCATGCCCAACTAAGAGTTCTTGTTCTTTAGTACTATGTTTTTTTGTTTTGTTTTGTTTTGTTTATTTTTATTAAGACGGGGTTTTACCGGGTTGGTCAGGCTGGTCTTGAACTCCCAACCTCAGGTGATCTGCCCACCTTGGCCTCCAAAGTGCTTGGATTGCAGGTGTGAGCTGCCACGCCCAGCCTAGTGCAATGTTATACTGACTTCTAAATGATAAATAATTTGATTAATGTAAGTATTCTATTTTATTTAGCTAGTGTTACTGAGAATTAATTGTGAGTAGAACATTTTTCACTATGTCATTTATAGTACTTTATGTCTATAAAGGGGACCACTATAAGGTGAGGACTAGTAGCCAATTTAGGAATAAGTTGAAAAATCTATACACTTAGATCTTATAGCATCTCACATGTTCCTTTTACATTCACATTAGCGTTCTCTATTCTGTGTTTTCCTTTTCCTTAGTCTGCCTTCTCCTTCCCTGTTCATTTGCTTCTATTTTCTCTCATTGCTGATATCAGTGTAAGTCATTGAGTTGCTACCCTTATTATTTCTATTTTAGCTAGCAAAGTTATCAAAAATGATTCTAAAGTAAGATTGCGCCATAATGTTATAGTTATTGAGCTGATAGCTGTTAAGAGCAATATGAATAAAATTATGCTTTTTAAAAAGTTTTCAGGTGGATGATGATTATTATTTTTGAGACAGAATCTCACTCTCTTGCCTAGGCTTGAGTGCAGAGGTTCGGCTCACTGCAGCCTCCGCTTCCTGGGCTCAAACGATTCTCATGCTTCAGCCTCCCAAGTAGCTGGGATTACAGGCATGTAGTACTATGGCTGGTGTATTTTTAGTAGAGATGGGGTTTCGCCATGTTGGCCAGGCTGGTCTCAAACTCCTGGCCTCAAGTAAGTGATCCACCTGCCTCAGCCTCCCAAAGTGCTGGGATTACAGATATGAGCCACCACACCTCTCAGGTGGATTCTTATTAAAGCACTTTTTTGTGTTAAACAGGAAGTAAACCAATGTTAACAGTGTTTGTTACTGAATGGTGAAATTTTACCCCCAATTTTTTTATATTTAAAATTTTTTCTGTAGTTAAAACACTTAAAAAGTTTCTTTTGGGAACATTTTTGTTTTTCTTTCTTTTTTTTTTTTTTTTTTTTTTTTTGAGATGGAGTCTCACTCTGTAGCCCAGGCTGGAGTGCAGTGGCGTGATCTCAGCTCACTGTGACCTCCAACTCCTGGGTCCCTGTTCAAGCAATTCTCCTACTTCAGCCACCGAAGTAGCTGGGATTACAGGCACAAGCCACCATGCCCAGCTAATTGTTGTTTTTTTTAGTAGAGATGGGGTTTCGCCATGTTGGCCAGTCTGGTCTTGAACTCCTGACCTCATGATCTGCCTGCCTCGGCCTCCCAGAATGCTGGCATTACAGGTGTGAGCCACGGCGCCCGGCCTCTTTTTGTTTTTTTGTTTTTTTGTTTTTTTTTAGAGGCAGGGTCTCACACTGTCACCCAGGCTGGAGTGTAGTAGTGACCCCGTCATGGCTCACTGGAGTCTTAACCTCCCCAGCCTCAGATGATCCTCCAGCTCAGCCTCTCAGCCTTCTGAATATCTGGGATTACAGGCATGCACAACCACGTCTGGCTAATGATTTTTTTTGTTTAATAGAGACAAGATTTCGCCGTATCACCCAGGCTGGTTTCGAGCTCCTGGGCTCAAGGCATCTGCCCATCTCGGCCTCCCAAAGTGCTAGGATTACAGGCGTGAGCCATCTTGCCTGGCCCTATTATTTTTAAAGCTTTAAATTAGGATGTTTTTATATGTGTACAAGTTTTGAACTGTTTGGTAGATGGCCTCAAATGATTTCAAATGACCCAGTTTTGGCACATGGACCTCTTGACAATGACATTATGAGATTTTTGCCATTGGTCAGCTATGAAAGAGGGATTTTATTTGACTGTAGAGTTGTTCTTTGAGGTTCTTTTTGTCTTTTTGCTTGTTTTTTAGACACTGGGTCTCCCTCTGTCTCTTAGGCTGGGACAGAGTGCAGTGTGACAACAGCTCACTGTAAATTTGAACTCCTGGGCTCAAGGCAGTCCTCCTGCCTCAGCTTCCCGAGTAGCTGAGACTGCAGACACAAGCCACACTGGCTGGCTAATTTTTTTTTTTGAGATGGAATTTTTCTCATTTCTCAGCCTGGAGTGCAATGGCGTGATCTTGGCTCACTACAACCTCCACCTCCCAGGTTCAATTGATTCTCCTGCCTCAGCCTCCAGAGTAGCTGGGATTACAGGTGCCCACCACCATGTCCAACTAATTTTTGTATTTTTAGTAGAGATGGGGTTTCACCATGTTGGTCAGGCTGGTCTTGAACTCCTGACCTTGTGATCCGCCTGCCTCAACTTCCCAAAGTGCTGGGACCGCATTCAGCCTACTGGCTAATTTTTAAATTTCTTGTAGAGATAGGGTCTTGCTATGTTCCTTAGATAGATCTTGAACTTATGGCCTCAAACAATCCTCCTGCCTCAGCCTCTCAAAGTGCTGGGATTATGGGCGTGAGGCACCTTGCCCGCCTGGGAATTGTTTTTATTAGGTGAAAAGATTTGTTCATAGCAAAAACGTTATTGAAGAATTATGTGACTTGAACTAATCCAGACTCTCTCCCCAGATGATACTGCTGATAGGGTGAGGATGGATGCTGGAGACGTGACTTTAGTGAACCACAACTCCATATTCAAAACCCACCTCCTGCCAGAGGACCAGCTTTCACTTTCTGACCAGCAGGTTAGGACCTATTTTCTTTGTTTAATTAATTAATTATTTGGCTGATCATAAGTTTTCATCTTACATAGTTGAAATGCCACACTCAAAAATACAAGCATAGATATAAACTTTTTAGAATAATTTTAGTGTTTGGAATTTTGCTCATGTATTAAAATTAAGAAAGTTAAGACAAGATAGGCTGTGTATGAGTTCTTTGAGAACAGTACCTTTTAGAAAACTTATTGTCTCTGAATTTTAAAATTACTTATACACAGATCAGTGTTCTTTTAAACTAGTGCTTAAAATTGCTGAGCCTTAAATGGGGGAGAAATGTGAAAACATACAGCAACTCTGAGATGTCTGTGCCATAATGCTTGGTTTCTCAAGGTCTGGTTCAGGACCAGCAGCATCCACATTACTTGGGAGGTTGGTAGAAATGCAGACTCTCAGGCTTTACCCCATATGACTGAATCAGAATCTGTATTTTAAAAACATCCTCATTTGATATATATGCACACGAAAATGTAGGGAATCACTGTTAGTGAAAGTCTATCCCAGTAGGACAGCCATTAGTAATTTGGATGTGTGGTTCTTTCCTAAGTATAATAGGTTGTTTAGCATCTATGACCCCTAGGCACGAAATACCTGTAGCATCAACCCCCCATAATCATTTTAATATTTCATATATATCCACACATTTTCAGATATGTACTCAGGGCACAGCACCACCTCTGATTAAGAACTGTATCTGTAAAGTTATCAAGAGAGTCAAAACCAGATTGATTTTCCCAACCTTTTTAATATGTGTTATAGCTAGCTTTCAGAGAGAATATCCTAAATACGTACATACTTTCTGCTGAACGTTCTTGGAATTCAGTTGTATAACAGATATTTTGCCGGTTTTTTTCTTGAAGCCTGAATCATTTCATTAGATTGTCTATGTGTTTTACTTGCTTATTAGTATGTAGTACTAATAATTATAATATGTAAATATAATTAATTATATTGAGTTCTGAAACAGTCTTATTTCTGCTATAGTCTTCATTTATTTAGAGACGCGCGGTCTTTCCACGTTGTCCATTGCTAGTCTTGAACTCTTTGGCTCAAGTGATCCTTCTGCCTCAGCCTTGCAAAGTGCTGGGATTATAGGCGTGAGCCACTGCACCTGGCCTATAGTCTTTTTTAATGATACATTTTTCCCAGTATATGTTTTTATTTCATTTTATTGTAAAAAATGTGACTTGGCTGGGTGCGGTAGCTCATGGCTATAATTCCAGCACTTTGGGAGGCGAAGATGGGTGGGTCACCTGCGGTCTAGAGTTCGAGACCACCCTGGCTAACATGGTAAAACCCATCTCTACTAAAAATACAAAAATTAGCCAGTCATGGTGGCATATACCTGTAATCCCAGCTACTCAGGAGGCTGAGGCAGGAGAATCACTTGAACTCAGGAGATGGAGGTTGCAGTGAGCGAAGATCGTGCCATTGCACTCCAGCCTGGGCGACGAGAGTGAGACTTCATCTCAAAAAAAAACAAAAAAGTGACTTAAGAAAAATCTTCTGCTTTGTTTAGATTTTATCTTCCAGGCAAGGACATTTGGACCGATCTTTTACATGTTCCACAAGAAGTACAGCTTATAATCCAAGCTATTATTCAGGTATGACACGTTACTTGGAGTCAAGGAACTTTATACTTTTTGGATTTCTTCATAGCATATCGTTTATGTTTATCATCTCGAAAAGGAAAAACACTGTCAAAAACAAGATGGTATTGTCTCCACTAAATGTCACTTGAATGGCTTTGTGTGTGTGTGATTGCTATGGACTTTACTGATTTAGTCTCAACCAAATACTAGTTTTTTATGGGAAAGTGTTTTGAGAATCGAATCTGACTGTCCATTATGCCATTGTAAAAAGCAATACAGCTTTGTTTTTGACTTTTCTTGGGGATATGTGGATGTGATATGGGCAAAGTGTGTTTGTTTTGCATTAATTTAAACCACAGAGCTAGTTTTATTTCTGTTCTGCTTGAAACCGTGAAACCTGAAAATTTATTTCTTCCTAAGCTTGTCCTTCTTTCAGGGCAGGGAATGTTAACTATGGGTTTCTCTCTAGCACCTGCCACAGCCATATGCTTGCATATTCAAGGGCTTGCCTGTTTAACTTGTGATCCATGACAGAAGTCAGCATCCTCTAGGCTGTTCTTATCCTGTGGCCTGCCTGACTTATCATCTGCCCTCTACTAAGATTTGGACTTCCAAGGGTCTTCTGCCTCTGCCTTGGGAAACTAAGAGTTTGATTGGTTAGCCTTCTGGCAGTAGGACTCAGGAAGTTTAAAGTAGTCTTCCCAGGTCTTTTTACTCCTCATGCTTCTATCTCCTTGCTTTACCACAATATGGGAGTACTAGTTATACCTCTGAAACTGCTTTAATAGGATTTTTTTTCTTTTTTTGAGATGGAGTCTCCCTGTGTTGTTGCCCAGGCTCAAGTGCAGTGGTGTGATCTTGGCTCACTGCAACCTTCGTCTCTCGGATTCAAGCAATTCTCCTGCCTCAACCTCCCTGGTAGCTGGGATTACAGGTGCCTCACCACACCCAGCTAACTTTTGTAATTTTAGTAGAGATGGGGTTTCATCATGTTGGCCAGGCTGGTCTGAAACTCTTGACCTCAAGTGATCTGCCTGCCTCTGCCTCCCAATATGCGGGGATTACAGGTGTGAGCCACTGTACCTAGCCGGACTTTTATAAGGATAAACTGGAATGCAAATAATAATTATTCTTGTTATTTGGCTTCCTTAGGATTCTTTGTCAGGAAGATGATATCTCCTCCCCTAAAAAGTCATTAGTATGATGCTCTCTTAAATTTATACTATATTTAAATGTGACTTAAGTGGGTGATACTTGATCTACCCTGGGCACTAGACTTCCATAGTATGTGCATAATTTGTATAGAAAAATCAATTTTCTCAGAAAGTAACTCTACTACCATTATTATTGAGAAGGCTTTTTTGATGAACAGGTCTGAAATCTGATTTGATAGCTCATTATTAATGATGGAGGAAGAACAGTTGAATGGTTAATGAAATTAGATGATCAGTATTTCCATTTGAACTCAGGCTGTGTTTGCTTATAATTTCATATGCCAGTTTATCATTGGATAGAATCTCTGCTCTAAGTTAAAACAATTGCTTAATAATAAACAGCTATATGGAAAATTATACTCAGAGTTCCCTTCTTATAAACCAATTCTAATGATTAATTTATTTTTTTTTGAGACAGTCTCTCTCTGTCACCCAGGCTGGAGTGCAGTGATGCGATCTTGACTCACTGCAACCTCTGCCTCCTGCGTTCAAGTAGTTCTCCTGTTTCATCCTCCCTAGTGGCTAGGATTACAGGCATCCTCCACCATGCCCGGCTAATTTTTGTATTTTTAGTAGGGACGTGGTTTCGCGATGTTGGCTAGATTGTTCTTGAACTCCTGACCTCAGGCGATCCATCCACCTTGGCCTCCCAAAGTGCTGGGATTATAGGCGTGAGCCACTGTGCCTGGCCTATTTTTAATTTTTTTTTTTTTTTTTTTGAGACAGAGTCTCACTCTGTCTCCCAGGTTGGAGTATGGTGATATGATCACGACTCACTGCAATCTTGACCTCCTGGGCTTAGGCAATTCTTCTGTTTCAGTCTCCCGAGTAGCTGGGACTACAGGTGCATGCCACCATGCCTGGCTAATGTTTGAAAAAGTTATTTATAGAGATGAGGGTTTTGCTTTATTGCACAGGCTGGTTTCAAACTCCTGGGCTCAAGTGATTCTTCTGCCTAGGCCTCCCAAAGTGCTGAGATTACAGGTATGAGCCACTGCACCCCATCTAATTCAACTCTTATTTAACTCAAATCTCTGTAGTCTCTTCTGATTATCTATATGTACATACATAGTTTACATTGTATGATTTAACACATGTAATCTTTTTTAACTCAGTTTTTTTTTTATTTTAATTCTTTTTTAGAACAGGGTCTCAGTCTGTTGCCCTGGCTAGAGTGCAGTGGTGCCATGACAGCTCACTGCAATCTCAGCCTCCTGGGCTGTGATCCTTCCACCTCAGCCCCCTGAGTAGCTGGAACTACAGGTGCATGCCACCACGCTTAGCTAATTCTTGTATTTTTTGGTAGAGATGGAGTTTCGCCATATTTTCCAGGCTGATAGTTTTAGTTTTTCATCTGATAGCATGTTCTTTTTTTTAAAAAATCATTTTCTGCTGATTCATGGAATTGATATGCACATCTATACAGTTCTTTATGTGTAATTCCAAAACAAAAACCTCTGAAAACCAAAAAATTTTTGACAACTCATCTGGTTTCAAAACCTGACCTGAGGCTGGGTGTGATGGCTCATGCCTGTTATCCCAACATCTGGGGAGGCCAAAGCAGGTGGATCAACAGAAGTCAGGCGTTCTGAGACCAGCCTGGCCAACGTGGTGAAACCCCATCTCTGCTAAAAACACAAAAATTAGCTGGGTGTTTTGGAGGACACCTGTAATCCCAGCTACTTGGGAGGCTGAGGCAGGAGAATCACCTGAACTCAGGAGGGGGAGGTTACAGTGAGCTGAGATCATGCCATTGCACTCCAGCCTCGGTGACTGAGTGAGACTGCATCTCCAAAAAAAAAAATACCTGACCTGAATTCAATTCATTACTTGAACTGACATGAAGCTGTTGATATTTTGTTTTTTAAATTCCTGTAAAAATGAGTATTTTCATATTTTGCTGCAGGTAACATGTTTGATTAGAGAGTACTGTTAGAGATGATACTTGAAGTTGTTACCTAATATACTAGGTTATCTTTCTAAAATTCCTAAAATTTAAAATTTGGATATAGAACTGGACTCAAGCATTTGATTTGGGATAATGGGCGTGGGCCTTAATTTGCTTCGTTATTTTCCCCGTGGTTTAGGTGCACATTTACCCTTACGATTTTTAGCTATTGTTAATAACATGGCTTAAAAGCATTGGTATATAGAGTTTTTTTCTTCTAAGTGTCAGTAAACCCTTGATATTCATAAAAAAATATATCTAAGATTATCTTAAATCCTAATATTTGGCCAGATTCCTTAGTTTTCTACTCAAGTTACATGATTGTCGAGAGTTGTATTTTTCTTATGTTTATCCTCATGCCACAAGTTGATTCTCATATCCACAGTCTTACACTAAAGCTTTATCTCACTTGAGCACCTTTTTTTGGAAAAGAATTATTTCATAACAGTTATGTGATGATGATTAGAGAATAACAACAGTGAATAATAAAGTCATACTGAAATGGGGATACTGGATCACGTATTAGACTCATTCTCTAAATTAGTCACAGCTTGAAGCAGAGAACTCACATTTGTACCTCTAACAAATTTCATCTAGTCCCTGATCAAACAAGCTTATGGCATGTCACAGACCTCAAAGGTCACTTTCTAAAAATCGAATTTTATATCTGATTGTCAATGGTCTATATACTTTTTTCTTATAATGAAGTATTGAATTAAAACCTACTTTTGTTTAGGCATGGTGGCTCACACCTGTAATCCCAGCACTTTGGGAGGCTGAAGTGGGCGGATCATGAGGTCAAGAGATGGAGACCATCCTGGCCAACATGGTGAAACCCCGTCTCTACTAAAAATACAAAAGTTGCTGGGCATAGTGGCACACACCTGTAGTTCCAGCTACTCGGGAGGCTGAGGCGGGAGAATTGATTGAACCTGGGAGGTGGAGGTTGCAGTGAGCTGAGATCGTGCCACTGCACTCCAGCCTGATCAACAGAGCAAGACTCCATCATAAAAAACAAACAACCAAACTACTTTTTATTGTGGACTTAAAAAAAACTTCTTCCTCTTTCCACATCCATTCCAATTCTGCTCTCTCCTTTGGATATATCCTTTTCTAATAATCACCACATTGATTGCTGTGATCATCACCTTGTGCCTTACCTCTTGATTGGGCTTAACATGGACTCTCAGTCTACCTGCCTTAATCTGCTGATACTGACTTTGTTGGTACTTGTCTTCCCTCGTGCCCTCTGCCCCTTCCTCCACCAGGATGAACATGCCTGTAATCCCAGCTACTCGGGAGGCTGAGGCAGGAGAATTGCCTGAACCCAGGAGGCGGAGGTTGCGGTGAGCCGAGATTGCGCCATTGCACTCCAGCCTGGGTAACAAGAGCGAAACTCCGTCTCAAAAAAAAAAAAAAAAAAAGACTTTAGGATCTAGGATCTAGAACTTCTTTATTGCTTTATTGGATTGACCTCTGTAGATCAAGCTTTAAAAAAATCTGCTTCTCAAAGCACTGAAGATTAGGGTATTAGAAACATTGACTTTGTTTTTAAATAAAGTTTTAAATACTCTGTTGCAGTTTAGTTTGTTTCAGTAAAAACCTTTACACCCCTGTAATCCCAGTACTCTGGGAGGACAAGGTGGGAGGATCACTTGAGCCCAGGAGTTGGAGACCAGCCCAGGCAGTGTATTGAGACCCTGTCTTTACAAACAATAAAAATAAATTACCTGGGCATGGTGACATGCACCTGCAGTCCCAGCTACTGAGGCAGCTGAGGTGGGAGGATCTCTTGAGCCTGGAAGGTCAAGGCTGTAGTGAGCCATGATGGTGCCACTGCACTTCAGCATGGGAGACAGAGTGAGACCCTGTCTCAAGGAAAAAAAAAGTTTCACCCTAAACAGAAAAGTAGATTAGGATGCAAAGAAATGATTTTGCTCATGCTTAGAATCATTATCTTTTTCTTTGGAAAATATGTTAAGTTAGGTTTTCAAAATATTTGGTAGGTAAGATGATTGTGACATCCTGCTGTCATCTTAACTACAGTTAACAGGAACTTTGATAGTAGGTAGTTACCTGACACATTCTTTTTTTTCTTTTTGGAGACAGAATCTTGCTCTGTCACCCAGGCTGGACTGCAGTGGCACGATCTTGGCTCACTGTAACCTCCGCCTCCCGGATTCAAGTGATTCTCATGCCTCAGCCTCCCTAGTAACTGGGACTACAGGCATGTGCCACCACGCCTGGATAGTTTTTTGTATTTTTAATGGAAATGGGATTTCACCATGTTGGCTAGGCTGGTGCTGAACTCCTGGCCTCAGGTGATCCACCTGCTTTGGCTTCCCAAAGTGCTGGGATTACAGGCATGAGCTACTGTACCTGGCCTTGACACATTCTTTTTTAATATGAAGTTTATTATATTCATAAAAGTATTGCTTGTTCCTGCAGAAACTTTGTATAGAAAAGTAGAAAACTACCCATCACCCTATCATTAGAACAAAAGTACAATTAAATTTTTAGTGTATTTTCTTCTCGTTCTGTGTGTATGTATGTGTACATAATAGGTCATCTTATTTGTGGTATTTTTAACTCTTACAGAAATCAGTGGTGACAGACTATTATGCTAAACCCTCACTATATGTGGCCAGGCACAGGGACTCACCTGTATTATTCCAGTACTTTGCCTTTAGGAGGCCCAGGTGAGGGTATCACCTGAGGCGAGGAGTCCAAGCCCGGCCTGAGCAACATAGTAAAATCCCACCTCCAAAAAACTACAAAAATCAGGCGGACATGGTGGTATGCACCTGTAGTCTCAGCTACTTGGGAGACGGAGTCAGGCAAATTGCTTGAGCTCAGGAGGTCAAGGCTGCAGTGAGCTGTGATTGTGCCACTGCACTTCAGCCAGGGCAACAGGAGGAGACTTTGGCTCAAAAAGAAAAGTATCTGTAGTTTACTCTTGGTCCGTCTCTAACCTTGCTTGATCCCGTCAGCAATAGAGCACTCTTCAGCAATTTCATTGAGTGGGGTTGGAACCACCTCTTTCTGTTTAAACAGACTTGATGATCCTCTGCTTTTTCCCTTGCATTTTAAAGCTGCAATCTCTGTTATATGCCATTGAGAATGCTACTCTGTCTTATCCTTGGTCTCAAATATCACACCTGTTAGGGTAATTTGCATTTTTAATAGACCAGTTCCTCAAATAGATATCTCTATTTATATCATTTCCTAATCAAATTTTAGCCAAAACATGTGAGAGACAAAGATTTCTACTGTTAGGACTTTAAACTTAACTATAATAATTTTCTAATTCTTTACTAAGACTCATTTCAATTAGCCTCGTGTTTCTGTCCTCAGAGTAATAATACTAGATGCTAAGCATAGATAGCTGATTACAGAGGAACAAAGTTACAATTAATTTTGAAAGTAAATTAACTTATTTTAATTATTAGACTAAGGTCACCAACTGGTACATTAACTAGTACTGACACCACCCCTGACTGCTTCTTTTTTCCTGTCTTATTTACCCTAAATTCTGACATCTTGATTAGCTTACAGAAACACAAAAGTGTATTTTTGAAGGCTACATTTTGGGATACAGCATTAAAAGATACATTAAACATTTTTAATAGCATAAATTTACAATATTGTGAAAAGTCCTATAGTAATATGCTTTAAAAGAATATCTTAAAAATGATATCAGCCTTAGAAAAAAATTTAGAAATAAAGAATTCTTATTCTTGTGTTTTCACTGGAGCTTCTTAGAGTTCCATAATTTAATGTCTGAAGTTCTTCTGAGGGAGCTGTTTTAAATTGTCCAATTCTGCAGATAAGGAGAGGAGGATATAGAAGTTATTCCACTACTTCTAGCTGAAACTTCAGGAGGTTTTTGACATCCCAGATTATAATCCACAAATTAGAAAATTCAAATTATAAGCAATTCTCAAATAATCTGACTTTAGTAGCAAGCATTGGAGTAATAATATGTTTGATTATGGCATTAGATGACTGCAGATTATTACACCAGAACCAGATGTATATGATGGGTCATTCCTTGCCATAAGCCAACCAGAAAAAGCAGCAATTAGGTTATCTCTGCTCTTTGAGAGAGTACCTGAATCTTGAACATGGTAACTAAAAAGAAGAAAGTGACACCAGCTGCTTAATAAGCAATAACTGTTTGTCATTTGAATTACAATTCTCGTTGGCCCCCCACCTGCTTTCTTACTGGTCTGGCCTACCTTCTTTCAGGCCCAGGCCTGGGAGTGCTTGCAAGATATAGTTGGGGTAAAATGTTGACTTTTGGTGGACACCACGGAGTCACATTGATGCAGATAAGGCACATGGCTGTGGCAGGATTCAGCTCCTTCATCAATTTTCAGGTTAGTATGGCTGAATCAATTATAGTTTGTAGACGTTTCCCTACTGCAGACTTTACTGGCAGTTGAGACTGGGATCTTTCTTCCATGAGAGACATGGTGATATGCCACATTGCTTTGGAATACAATGGTTGCTTGTGGTTGCAGTCATAAGGAGAACCACCTGTAGAATTTGTTTAATTTATTCAAACTTTTATATTTTTAGATAATCCTTCCTCAGACAGTTTTCTTGGCTCAGGAGACGTAAGAACCTTTGGCCAGAGTGCAAATGGCCAATGGAGAAATTCTACTCCATCATCAAGCTCAACTTTACAAAAATCAAGAAATAGCCGAAGTCTTTACCTCGATACCCGAAAGACCTCAAGGTTGGTATTTTGTCATCTTGTTCTCACGGCCTTCCTAAGACATAAGAGAAAGTGACTAAAAGGTATATAGTTATTACATTGGCATTTTAAAAGAGTAACACCATTTTTGGACTTAAAACCATAGGGATATGAACAAATCCATTTCACATTTTCAACTTCTCATTTACTTAGTGCTGAATTTTGGTGATAGCCAAATCTTATCATTAGAAGAGAGAATTTTAAGTAAATCTTGGTGGATATGAGAATATGGGGCCCCTTCAAGATCAATATGGCTCTTGCAAATCTTAAAGTGAAATCAGTCAATCTCTGCAATTTGAGTAGGAAAGAAACCAGCACATACAGCTGTCATCTGAGCAGAGACCTGACTTAAGCTAAAGTAGTTCTCATGGCGTTAGTCAAGAAGACCAAGCTACTTCTATATATTAGTAAATAGAGAGTCACAGGCCAGGCACGGTGGCTCATGCCTTAATCTTAGCACTTTGGGAGGCTACGGCAGGTGGATCACCTGAGGTCAGGAGTTCAAGACCAGCCTGGCCAACATGGTGAAACCCCATCTCCACTAAAAATAGAAAAAAATTAGCCATGCATGGTGGTGTGTGCCTGTAGTCCCAGCTACTCGGGAGGCTGAGGCAGGAGAGTCACATGAACCTGGGAGGCAGAGGTTGCAGTGAGCCAGGATCACACCACTGTACTGTAGCCTTGGCGACAGTGACCCCGTCTGAAAAATTAAAAAAAAGTCACAGAGAACTTTATCCCAACTTCATAATCTCTACCTAACTAAACTTACGTGGATTATTAAGTGGTTATTAAAGCCAAATGAAGGCTGGCTTTGAAACTTTTCCCTCAGGTACTTTATTATATTGGTAAATATTTCTTTTCTAAAATAGTATTTATGACTACCTAAATTCTGTTCTGGTGTATTTTAGAAATGTGGAATCATTTAATATACTGGTTAGTCAAGGTTGAGCTTTGTGGTGTTGATAGAAGCCAACAAGATGGCTTTGTTTTATTTTATCTTATTATTTTATCCACATGGACTCCAGGAACGTGTCAGTACTCCCTGGATTATCCTCCTCTCTTAAGTATACCGTAATTCATTCATATACTCGCATTGTGGAAATCAGCACACTACCAACAGAGCTGAAGATCTCTTGACCACTACCCACAGTCTCAATCCCTTCTCCTTAGTGTTTTTTCTTTCAAACCTTTTCCTATACTTGTTTCTCTCTTAACTCTTTCTTACTTATATATAGCATGATACACACACACACACACTCTATTAACTGTGTGATACTATTTTGTCTTCATTAAAGATTTCCTATATACATCATTTAGCAGGTGGCTTTTAAAATTCAATAAAACCACACTGTTATTATTTTTTAAATGTTATCACAGAAATAGTACATGTACTTTGGAAAAATACAGAAAATATAGTGAAGCAAAAATAAAAAATAAAGGCATTACATTGCCACCAGCCTGAGATCAACTCTATAGTATCTTAGTATATATCCTTCCACACATTTTTCTCTGCCTTTACACATATTTTTTCCAAAATGAGTTCATAGTGTACATATTCTTTTGTAAATTTTATCTTATACACCAAATATATCTAAATTTTCTCAGTTGACCCAAAAGTATCTTTTATAGTGAGTTTGGTTAAACCAGTATCTAATTTAGAATTGCATCTGGAAGTTACTGGCTTTGTATTTTATAACTGGAACAACCTCCTTTTCTTTAAGTGACATGGCTTTTCTGTATAATATTCCACTGTTTGGATTTGACAGGTTGCTTCCTCATGATGTCATTATCTTGTCAAAAAATCACCTGTATTTTTTGTAAGCTAGGTTTTTGATGTGACTAGAAGGTGTCACTGTGCTTATCACATTAGAAAAACAAACTATCTTATTTTGGTTCTCCGATCATTCGTGATGCTAGACGGACCTCTTGATTGAGGAGCCGACGGTCTGGTAGTTGATGGTACAGTTAGGTTTTCCCCTGTGACTTGAATGTAACCTAAATTATGTTACTTTGGCATTACCTGGATGATGAATTTCATATCAGCCATCTTGCCTAACAGTTCATATCATTTGATAATACTTAGCTGATAATAGTTTTGTTAGAGTCAATGAAATAATATTTTTCTAATTTAATCACTTCTTCAGCACTTCCTGATTGGCATTCTGATTGCATTTTTCATTAGCTGGGGCTATTAGGTTACCCTGAAATATGTCTCCTATGGGAAAGGCAGGATAAATGATTAGATTTTTCATTACCAGTATTTGAAGTAAGGTTTTCCTAAAATAGCCACGTCATATGGTTCAAATGAAATTGTCTGTTCCTTTTTTTAGTGGCATTATGGATTCAGTGTTTTGCAATCCATTATAATGGCTATTCTTTTAATGCTCACATTCTCAGAAATTTGGCTAGTGGAAGCCCCTTAAGCTTGCTTCTCTGTCTGTTTGACCTTAGCTCATTAATTTTGGGTAACACCCTTGCTTTCCGGCATTGCAGAATGCCCTTGTACTGTTTCTTTAGAAGAGTAATCTTTTATGTTAAGAAACATGCATAGGTGCTGGAATTCTTTTAGAAACACAAATACAAAAGACATTGTAGAGAACCCGTCATAGCTTTACCTGACAATTACACTGCGTTTGCCATCTTTTCCTGGTTGCATCCACTCACCCGAAGAAAGTAAGCCTGTTCCCAAATTCTGAGTCCTTGCTCATTTCCCCACTCTTCACACACATAGAAACCCTTAGAATTTGAAGATTTAAAGAGAATTATGCACTTTTTGATTTTCTTTAGATCTTGTCTGATTTGTATCAAAACTACATGTAATGATTTAAAGAATTGATTTCATTGAATTTAGAATACTCAGCTGTGTTTCTCTATTCTGAGTCTTGAAGAAAAAATAAAATTTATTATGCTAAGAATAAGTACCTCAAACTTTTCTAGTAATGATAGATGAGAAAGAGCACGTAGAAAAAAACTCAAAATTGATCGGGCACAGTGGCTCATGCCTATAATCCCAGCACTTTGGGAGGCCGAGGCAGGCGGATCACAAGGTCAGGATTTTGAGACCAGCCTGACCAACATGGCGAAACCCCGTCTCTACTAAAAATTAACTAGCCGGGTGTGGTAGCATGCCCCTGTAATCCCAGCTACTCAGGAGGCTGAGGCGGGAGAATCACTGGAGCCTGGGAGGCAGAGGTTGCAGTGAGCTGAGATAGTGCCACTGCACTCCAGCCTGGGCAACAGAGCAAGACTCTATCTCAAAAAAAAAAAAAAAAGAAAGAAAAGAGAAAATTTAAAATTGTCTGGGTGCAGTGGCTGATACCTGTAATCCCAACACTTTGGGAGGCCAAGGCAGGCAGATCACCTGAGTTCAAGACGAGCCTGGCCAACATGGTGAAACCCTGCCTCTACAAAAATACAAAAATTATCCAGGCATGGCGGTAGGTGCCTGTCATCCCAGCTACTCGGGAGACTGAGGTGGGAGAATCACTTGAACTTAGAAGGTGGAGGTTGCGGTGAGCCGAGATTGTGCGACTGCCCTCCAGTCTGGGTGACAGAACAAGACTTTGTCTCAAAAAAGATGAAAACCCTCAAAATTAGTAAGCCTTAGATATTAGACAGGGTTTTTGAGTTCACAATATTCTTCATGCCAATTTGCCAATGTTTCGCATTAGATAGTATAAAGAAACAAAAATTCTTCAGAGGAAGTAAATAGGCCAGAAGGAGAATTTAATGATGCAGCCTAATAGAAAGCCGTCTTGTTATTTTTAAGGAAGGATGGGAGCCCTCTGTTGGCCTTTAAGGAAATTTTAAAATTCAGTTTAAAAGCTTAGTTGAGAGGCTTCAGCCTTTATGCCTTTTTACATATGTAATCTTAATTTCCTACAACAGGCAGGGTATAAGGGGCATAGGGAATAACAGAAAATGTGTGTGTCGTTAGCATACCTAGAACCCAGGTTTTTTGAAGATATGTATTCTGTTATGCTTTGTACCATAAAGTTATATGGTGGCTGACCAAAAGAAATTCTAGATTGTGGATCCAAAAATACTGTTTTAAGTGTTCGATAATTTTGTAGTTTGATAGTTTGACGATGTAAGATCTTTTGAGTGGCAGAACGTGATGCAGCATCCTTACATATCATTTATTTGTATCTTTCCCTCAAATGGTACCACTTATTATTTTACCTGTTTTGTTTGTTTGGTTTTATATTTTGAAAGTAAAAATAATCACTAGATTAGATTTATTTTACTTATTATCTATTCTTATCTTTCTTACAAACTCTTTTTTTCTAGTGGATTCTCAAACATTTTTGCGGGAAAGTCAAACCATCACTGCTATATATCTGCATATGAAAAATCTTTTCCTATTAAACCTGTTCCAAGTCCATCTTGGAGTGGTTCATGTCGTCGAAGCCTTTTGAGCCCCAAGAAAACTCAGAGGCGACATGTTAGTACAGCAGAAGAGGTAAGGAAAACCTGTGATAAAAGCTACTAAAAGTTAGGATCTTTCCCTACATTGAGACATTCGCTCTCTATTAAAAATCAGATGTGAATGAGCCATTCTGTTTTTCCTTCCTGTGCTTTTTCTGTCTGAATTCCTCTTTCTGACAGTTACCATCTATTCTAAAGGGATTAAAGAGATGTTTTAGCAGGACTTCATTGCTGTCTTACTATTATAGCCTCCGTTCCTGCTGGACAGCTGACTTGACTTAATCTCCAGTGTTGCCTGAATGGTTTCCCATACATTTATCAGACCCTTCCTCAGCCCTCGTCTCCTGTGGAAAAACTGTTAGTCTTCCTCAGCAGTTGTGGATAAAACTTGATTTTAGTCCAGGTGAGGTGGCTCACTCCTGTAATCCCAGCACTGTGGGAGGCCAAGGCGTTTGAGACCAGCCTGGGCAACGTGGCAAAAACCTATCTCTACAAAAATTATAAAAATTAGCCAGGCTTGGTGGCCCATGCCTGTACTCCTAGCTACTGGTGAGGCTGAGGTGGGAGGATTGCTTGAGCCCAGGAGGTCGAGGCTGCAGTGATCTGTGATTGTGTCACTGTACTCCAGCCTGGCCTTCAAAGTGAGGCTGATCTAAAAAAATAAATAAATAAATTTTTAAAAAATTTGATACAATACCTGCTCTTCTCACTAGGAACAATTTTTCTTCAACGTAAGAGAAAAATCAAGAAGCTAGTTAAACAATTTACATCTTTTCATTATGAGTGAGATCTTTTTGAAGTTATAGACTCCTGAAAAGAAAGATGTTCTGTTGACACTTGGGTTGTTATATTCATTCAGCGAACCTAAGGAAAAAGTTAATTTCGTGAATATAATAATAGCATATACTTTGTATGATAGGATGTGTGCACATATCTGTTAGATGACATATTCAATGTACATTTAATTGTTGTGGTTGCTATGGAGATATAAATGAATAGTAATTACCTTACGTTTAAATAGCATTAGAGCCTCCAGTGTACTTTCCATGTTTATTTTTGTTTTTAATCCTTTAACTCAGTGAAATAGGTAGAGATGAGGTCATAGTCATATTTTACAGATTTGGAAAATAAGGGTCATAGATCACATGGCTAGTAAATGGCAGGCCTAGCACCCAGATCTGAGGAAGTTTGGTCAAGTATGCTTTCTGTTATACAATACAGCAATATGGTTCCTGCCCTATGAAGCTTTCTCAGCGTGGAGTCAAGAATTACAGCATTACATGCTAAATACTTGCATAATTTGGTAATCAGTGATCTCTTAGGTATTTGTGATATGGTTAGTAAAAATACTGGGCATATTTTTGGTGTAAAGTTTGCATTGAATCTAAAATGCTGGGCGTGGTGCCTACAAATACAAGCACTTTGGGAAGCTGAGGCAGGAAGATTGCTTGAGGCCAGGAGATTGAGATCAGCCTAGGCATAATAGTGAGCTCTTGTCTCTCACAGAAAAATCAGCTGGGCCTGGTGGCAGATGCCTGTAGTGCTAGCTACTCAGGAGGCTGAGGCAGGAGGATTGCTTGAGCCAGAATTTCAAGGCTGCAGTGAGCTGTGATTATGCCACTGCGCTCCAGCCTGGGAGACAGAGCAAGACACTGTCCCAAAAAAAAACAAAACCAACATTCAAGTGGAGGGTGGCAGAGCTATCAAGTCATTTAGCAGGGCAAGGGATAAACAAGAAACTGGCAACATTTGCCTTTGGTGATAAGAGATGAGCAACAATGATGAAAAGGAGATTTCTTTCTTTTTTTTTTTAATATTCCGCAAAATTTTCTTTTTTTTTTGAAACGGAGTTTCGCTCTTGTTGCCCAGGCGTGAGTGCAATGGTTTGATCTCTGGCTCACTGCAACCTCCACCTCCCAGGTTCAAGCGATTATCCTGCTTCAGCCTCCCGAGTAGCTGGGATTATAGGCATGCACCACCACGCCAGGCTAATTTTGTATTTTTAATAGAGATGGGGTTTCCCCATGTTGGTCAGGCTGGTCTCGAACTCCTGATCTCAGGTGATTCACCGACCTTGGTCTCCCAAAGTGCTCACAGGCATGAGCCACCATGCTCGGCCTACATTCAACAAATTTTTGTGTCATCCTTGCACAGGGGCCATGCTAATCTTTATATGGTTCTAGTCTTAGTATATGTGCTCCTAAAGTGAGCCCAAGATTAATTTTCCATTGTATCTTTTATGCTATTGAATTTTATATATAAATTATTTTATGGATAAACAATTACTAGAGTTGTGGAGTTTGTGATGATGCTGGAATCTAGACAGTCTAAGGGATACAGAGAGACTTTGTGGAGGAGACAGCAGCAGCATGGCAGCTGGGTACAGGGCTCCTAACCCTCCCTGCCTAGAGTTTCTGTTGCTCAGGCTCACCAGGATCCTTTAATTCTGTGTTCATTGTAAGTTTGCTATTCACCCACCAGCTCTGTGGACCTCTCAGCCTTCCTTCTTTAGCCTCCTCTGCCAGCCTAAGAACGGGGTTGCATGGGCAATTTTACCCTTCCGGACAACCTTCCAAGCTGCAGGTTGAGTCAGTGGAGAACATGAAGCTGCAGTTCTCCTTCCTCCTGTAGTGTAAAGAGGATGCTCAGGATTCAATCTACTCTATGAAACGAGCAATGCAGGAAATTTTGCCTCTGGTTTTAGTTCTGTAGTCCCCTAGTATGAAAATCGAGCTACCTGTACTGTAGAATAAGCCGTATAACATGAGTAAGACAAAATACTGGGCTGAACTTTATTATCACACTTTCAACAAACGTATTTAGATATTTGTTTTGGATATTACAAATAATCAAGACATAATACTTTTTAACCCTGGGACTAAATTTATTGATGGGAACTTAGAAACTGGATGAAAAGTCCCTTTCCATGAAATGCTGGGATCCTCAACAGAGGTGACATTTGCTCATGTTAAAGGAAGATGTGTTAACCCTGATGCCGCGCTTGTCCATCAACTTCAGGAATATGAAGTCATCTACAGAATTAACCATTAAGGTGATGTCACCACTGCACTGCTCAGTCTACAGCAGAGCTTTGACGAGAACACATGAAGAAGAATTTAGAAATATACAAGTAGTGGTTGGGCAGAATGGCCGACTCAAGGGGCAACATCGAAAAGTTGTGCTATCCAGTAGGGTAACCGCTAGCCACGAGCAATGTTTAAATTAGTTCAGATTTAAAATTTAGTTTTTCAGTCAAACTGGTGACATTTTAAGTATTCATTAGCCACATGTGGCTGGTGGCTACCATATTGGACAGGGCAGATAGAGAATATTTCTATTACTACAGAAGTTTCTGTCAGATAATGCTGTTATAGAGGATATAAACCTCTGTTTGGAAAAGAGGAAATACTTCTGACAATAAAAATGTAAAATGGCAAAAACACAAATAGTTTCTTTTCGGTTATATGTTGCTTCTAGCCATGTTTCTTTGCAAATTTTTGAGCAGCATTTTAAGATACCGGACTTTTGTGACAGGTGACAGTGCTGGTTTTATACTTTTCTTAAAAATGCTTTACAGTTTTATCATATGTCAAGCATTTTGGACTCAGAAAATTATTGAATTTCACACTTTGCATATTTTATATGGTATAAAGGTATGACTTTAAACAACATGAAAATTAGGAGTGTTATTTATAAGGTTATTGGGGTAATTTATAACAAAACAGTTGACTAGTGTCCTTAAGTTTATTTTGTGTTCTCTGTTAAGGTTTTATAATTTTACGTCTTTTGCGATGGAGCTTTCTGTAGAAGCGTCACCTAACTGAAGGGCTCCGTCCCTTTTAAAAAATAGAATTCAGTACCTTAATTATTTTTATACTTCAAAAAACTCATCTTAGTGTTTTATCAGGTTTCAAAATGTAACATTAGCTAGCTTCTTTAACTTTGTCATGCTATGCAATTGTTGCTTCTTTTCCTCTTAATATCCTAATTTTCTTACTCAGTAAAGAACAGTTGGGGCTTTTTTAAATTTAAATTTTCTTTTTTCTGAAGTACATACTCAGCGTGTCACCCATGCTGGAATGCAGTGGCACAATCACAGCTCACTGCCGCCTCAACCTCCTGGGCTCAAGCGATCCTCCTTTCTTTGCTTCCTGAGTAACTGCAACTACAGGCACACACCAATATGCAGCTAATTTTTAAATTTTTTTATAGAGATATGGTCTCACTTTGTTGCCCAGGCTGGTCTCAAACTCCTGGGCTCAAGTGATCCTTCGCCTTGGCTTCCCAAAGTGTTGGGATTATAGGCATGAGCCACTGTGCTTAACAACAACAACTAAAAGTTTAGTAAGTAATTTATAGAGAAAGATGTTTTCTTTTACTTTGTAGTACCAGATGCTCCAAGAAAGAATTTTGTTTGAAGTTTTAGGTAACTTTCATTTTGGCAAAGCCAAAAAAGTTAACATGTGTTCTTTTGGGAAAGGGAGAGGTGAGACTGTCACTGTTTGCCAACAACATGATCTTATGTAGAAAACCCTATAGACTCCACCAAAAACCTGTTAGAACTATTAAACGAATACAGTACAGCTGTAGGGTACAAAATCAACACACAGAAATTAGTTCTGAAATAGAAATTCTATGCACTAACAGCGAACTATGCAAAAAAGAAATAAAGAGAACAATCCCATTTACAATAGCTACAAAAAAAAATTAAATTTAACCAAGGAAGTAAAAGACCTGTATACTGAAAAACATAAAACATTTAAAGAAATTGAAGATACAATTAAATGGAAAGCAATCCTGTATTCATGGATTGGAAGAATTTATACTGTTAAAATGGCCATACTACTCAAAGTGATCTGCATATTCAGTGCAATCCCTATCAAAATTCCAATGTTATTTTTTCATAGAAAAAAATTCTAAAAGTCATCTGAAACCACATAAATCCCTCAATAGCCAAGGCAATTATGAGCAGAAAGAACAAAAAAGAAACTACCACACTACCTTATTTCAAACTATATTACAAAGCTATAGTAATTAAAACAGCATGGTGTTAGGGGGAAAAGACATCAGCCAATGGAACAGAATAGAGAGCTTAGAAATGAACCCGTTATATAGGTAGTTGACTGATTTTTGACAAAGGTGCCAAGACTACACAAAGGAAAGGACAGTCTCTTAATAAATGTGGTGTTGGGAAAATTGTATTTCTATATGTAGGAGAATGAAATTAGATCTTTATCTCATACCATACATAAAATCAACTAAAAAATGGAATAAAGACTTAAATGTAAGGCTAGAAACTCTAAAACTGCTAGAGGAAAACATAGGGGAAAAAAACTACACAACAGTGGTCTGGGCACTGATTTTTTTGGATTTGAACCTTAAGTGACAGGCAAGAAAAGCAAAAGTAGACAAATAGGAATACATCCAACTAAAAAGCAAAGGAAACAACTGCAGAGACAACCTACAGATTGGGAGAACATATTTGCATCCATTCTATAAGGGGTTGATAATTCAAAATATATAAGGAGCTCAACTCAATAGCAAGAAAACAAAATTGTTTACACATAGGCAAGACATTATCCTAGGCAAACTGACAGAAACTGCGTGTTTTCCCTTATAAGCGGGAGCTAAACATAGGGTACAAATGGACATAAAGATGGGAATAGTAGACACTGGGTACTACAAAAGTGGGGAGGGTGGGAGAAGAGCAAGGGTTAAAAAACTACATACTGGTGGCTGGGTGCCGTGGCTCTCGCCTGTAATCCCAGCACTTTGGGAGGCCCACGAGGGCGGATCACGAGGTCAGGAGATCGAGATCATCTTGGCCAACATGGTGAAACCCTGTCTCTACTAAAAATAAAAAACAAAATTAGCTGGGTGTGGTGACGTGCGCATGCAGTCCCAGCTACTCGGGAGGCTGAGGGAGGAGAATTGCTTGAAGCTGGGAGTCATAGGTTGCAGTGAATCGAGATCCCGGATTGCACTGCTGCACTCCAGCCTGGCGACTGAGCAAGACTCCAAAAAAACCCAAAAAACTTTATATTGGGCACAGTGGCTCATGCCTGTAATCCCAGCTCTATGAGAGGCCAAGGTGGGTGGCTCACTTGAGGTTAGGAGTTCGAGACCAGGCTGGCTACCATGGTGAAACCCTGTCTCTACTAAAAATTAAAAAAAAAAAAAAGTTAGCTGAGTGTGGTGGTGGGCACCTGTAGTCCCAGCTACTGGAGAGGCTGAGGCAGGAGTATTACTTGAACCCAGGAGGTGGAGGTTGCAGTGAGCCCAGATGGCGCCACTGTACTCCAGCCTGGGTAACGGAGTGAGACTGTCTCTCAAAACAAAACCCTACCTATTGGATATTTTGCTCACTATATGGGTAAAAGCTTCGGTTGTACTCCCGAACTCAATATCACACAATGTACCTTTGTAACAAACCTGGACATAATATCCCCTGAATCTAAAAGTTGAAAAAAAAGAAAAAAGACTGAGCAGGAGGCCTGAATAGACATTTCTTCAAAGAAGAAATGGCCAATAGATGTATTTTAAATCCTCAAAAACTCTAATCATTAGGGAAGTGCAAACTAAAACCACAAATGAGATATCCTTTCACACCTGTTAGAGTGGCTTCAGTCAAAAAGATGAAAGATGACCAGTGTTGTTGGGGATGTGGGAAAAAGGACCTGTTGCACACTTTGTGTGGTCGAATATGTAAATCAGTGCAGCCATTGTAGAAAACAGTATGGAGAGGCCAGGCATGGTGGCTCTCACATGTTCAAGACTAACCTGGGCAACATGGCAAAACCCCATCTCTACTAAAAAAAAAAAAAAAAAAAAAAATAGCTTGGTGTAGTGGTGTGTGCCTGTAGTCCCAGCTACTTGAGAGGCTAAGGTGGGAGGATGGTTTGAGCTGAGGAGGCAGTGGTTGCAGCAGTGAGCTGAGATCATGCCACTGCACTGCAGCCTGGATGGCAGAGCCAGACCCTGTATCCAAAAAAAAAAAAAAAAAGAAGGAACAGTGTAGAAGCAGTATGGAGATTCCTCAGAAAACTAAAAATAGAATCATCATATGATTCATCAAACCCACTTCTGGATATTCACCCATATAATTTGAAATCCATTTGTCAAATAGATGTCTGCACCCCTATGTTTATAGCTGTACTATTCACAATAGCAGGTTATAGAATCAACTGAGATGTCCATCAACAGATGAATGGAT